GGTTCTGTGTGACCTGTGAGCTCGCACATCAGATTCTGAACCCAGCAAAGCAGTAAGAGTGATGTTGAGTAGGAAGAGGTATGGGAGTCTGGGGACATGTCTGACCTCTTGAGAATAGGTTTTGTGTTACTGACGCTGTGGATGGGGACAGATGCCCCTTGTGAAGCTGGTAAAGGTCAGATATGGAGCTCCCAGTGTGTCTCTTGCTCATTTTACAGTGCTAAAGAGCAAAGATGTCAATTTAAAGACTAAGGTGTACCTGACGCAAGTCATGGTTTTTTCAGTTGCTTCCTGTGCATTTGAAAGCTGGACAGTGAATAAAGATAACCAAAGTAGAATCATCTTTGAGCTATGTTGTTGGTACTGGCTATCCTATGGACTGCCAAAAGAAATGTCTCGAGGTGCTCCTTGGATGAGGAAACCATCTCATAGTATGGGCATGTTATCAGGAGGGCACAGTCCTTGAAAAAGACATCCAATTGGGAAAGGTAAGGGGTCAGCCAAAGAGAAGACCCCCCCACAGGATTCACGGTGACCCTCCCAGTGGGCCTTAGCATCCCAGAGAGCATGAGGATAGTGCTTGACAGGGCGAGGTTCTGATGTGCTGTCCATGCTCCGAGTCATGGTCAGCTTGGGGGCACCTAATACCACAGCCGCATTCACTCCGTATTAATTACCTGTGTAAGAAAGAATCTATGGAGTCAGTTACTAGCAATATGTGAGGTTATTCTGCTCCACCTGTTTCCTGGGGTCATTTTAGAATCCTCCTTGCCCAGTTTTTCATCCTTAGCAAGACTGGTTTATTGAGTTGCAGTTTGAGAATTTTCCCAAAACTTGGCAATGGGAGATGTGTGTTACCCTTGAGCAGTTGAGAGATTTCCAGAGAATGACTCTGTTTTCACTTTAAAATTTCAGTAACCCAGAATTCCTCAAGCAAACCCACAGGGCACAAGTGATGGGCCACCTAGAGAAGGCTCTGCAGTCTCCAGGGTCCCCCATGCTGAAGGAGAGGAAGCAAGGGAGTCACAGACTGTGAAGTCCACCCTCTGCTGTGATCTGTATTAACACCTCTCCGGCCTCCTTAGCCTACTGGACTTTAGGGTTCTCACAGGATTGTTCTGTGCAGGATTTGTTACCCCATTGTCAGACCTCACCTGTCTCAGCCATGAGTTGAGATCACAGTGTTGAGACTGAGGTGTGGGAAGCCTGATGCAGCATGACCTACAGAAAGCTTTTCCCCACAACCTGAAGGGCTCACTTCCATTCCAGGTGGCTCTTTGCTGAGAATGTGCCTTCCCACCCCAGGTACAGCCATTTCAGGCTCAATTCCAGACCATGGTAACAAATGATCACAAAGTGGGCCGAACACATTTTTGATTCTCAGCGCATTAAGTTACGCTCACACTGTATGATGTCTCAGTGCTGAGGCACTGTGCTGACACTCCCAAGGCATGTGCCTCAAGTCCAGCAACTGCTCAGTGGGAGCAAGGTGGACAATCTCCTGTGTGGTTTACAGCCCCTGCAGGGTCAGCTAGGAGTCGGTTCCTACTTTATGGCACCTAACAACGTAACAGTCCATGAAGGGAGCAACAAACAGCAAGGTGGAAAGGTTTGAAGTACTGTGAGGATGGCCAAAATGTAGTGACAAAAGATGACCCCACACTGCTGGACAGACAGGATCTCCAGGTGATCCTGAAGGTACACAGCAGTGACCTGGGGTCCGATAAAACTCTGACTTATACAGGATACAGATAAATGACCTGCTGGAAGCCTGCTGAAAGGACCGAGTCTGACTTCCTGAGGAATGCTGAGGCAGGACTCAGTGGTGCCATGAATATGTACCTTGTCAGAAAGGAAAAGTGGCACAGGGCAGTAACACATGTAGAACTGTGGTGGGCTGGAGAGAGCTCTGTCCGACCACCAAGTGAGAACAAAGCTGGCGACTTCCCTACCCCGCTGCCAAAGGGGTTTCTAGACGTGCCCATGCCATCTTTGCTTCCAGAACACAGCCTTGTGCTTGGCAAGCAGAGTCTCTGCGGTCAAGCCCTGTTGGTGCCATCATCCCTGGCTGCCACTGGCCAAGGCCCCTGGTCTCAAAGCAGTGTTGATGCCCTGGGATGGAGTGTGCTCTTCCTCTGGGGTCCTGACAGTGGCATCACTGTGGAAACGGTCCCACTTCCTGCATGTGGTGCCCACACACTCTGGCCCAGGTCTCCACAAGCTTTTAGAGCATGGACTGTAATATGCTGGGATGTTCGAGGCAGGGTAGCAGAAAGGAGTAAAGCAGGGACTTCTAATTGTCCCAGATGTTAAAGGAAGGTAAAAAACTTGCAGTAAATCTGAGATGATTTCCAGGTTAGGCTTTGTTTTAGAAGTTGCTGTCAGGTACCACCGAGTCGAGCATGGCTCTCAGCAACTCTATGAACAACAGATCTGAAGCCTGTCTTATCCTGTGCCGTCCTCACACTTCCTGACACAGCAGAGCCCATGGCAGTTGCCATGGCTGCGGGTCTTCCTCTCACACCAACCCCCTTCCCTTCCAAGCATCATGTCCCTTTTCCTTTAACCAAGTCAGTCAGATGTAAAAACAGTGGAGTTTTGGAGCACCCCATGCCCCGTGCTGCACTGTCCTGGAAGGGGCAGTAGCCCGGGGCCAGTGTGCTTATTCCGAGGGCAATCTGCAGGCCACCACTGCCTGGGGGTTCACTCCAGTCTTCTCATTTCCAAAGCTCTGGTTCTGCATACTCTGGGCCTGGCCTAACTGGATGCAGGGAGGACACTGATGTCCTGGTGAAGTGGGACCCGCCACAGGCCAGTCCCCAAGGGCAGGGTGGAATCTGTGAACATTGCCAACTGCCCAGAGCCTTGTTCACGTTGTCTGTCCCATAGTGACTCAAGCCTCGCTGCAGTCGGGAACACAGAGGACTCCAAACCCTGGGTGTGGAGTTCAGCGTCCAGGATGGGCAGAGCCCATCCTGCTAATGGACACAGCGCAGGGAGGGACGCAGGTGAGTGCTGGGGGCAGCACGTGGGAGGGAGAGGCCGGGAGGCACTTCTCAGCGGCACCTTGCGACCGAGGCCTGGCCTGGAGGTCACATCCTGTCTGCTTATGCGTCCTGGCCACCTGCCCCGGCCTCCAACTGCTAAGAACCAGGTACCACTTCCTGGTCAAAGTGTATGACTCTCCAGGTGGGACTCGGACACTGCTTCCAGATCACAAGGCCCTGAGTGGAGCTGACTGCGCATTGGGGCAGCGGTCAGGGTCCTTATAACTGCTCCATGCTGTGGGACCAGCAGTGGTCATCCCAGGGTCCTATCGGCCCCGGGGACGTGGACTGGCTGTGGGAAATCCCTCGCCACCCTGGGGCCTCGTCACCCCTGGGGCGTCCTCACGGGGGGGGGGGGGTTGGGGGGCGAGGTTTCACTACCCCTGGGTGTCGCTACCCTGGGGTCTCCTCCCTCTGGAGTGGGGCGGACGGCAATCTGACAGCCGCACACTCCTGCTGGAAATGGGGGGCAGTCATGGGGAGCCATGGGCTGGGAGGTGGGTCACCCGACCGGTAGGAGTGGCCACAGGGCAGGGCCAGGCATCCCGTGCTGCTGTGGGTTGCGGGCAGTACAGCACCATTGCAGTGAGGAGGTGCCGAGCTGTCAGGGTCTGGCCAGCACGGTGGGTGTCCCCCCAGGCAGCAATCAGAGGTCACAGCCCATCTTGGGGTGCTTCCCGACAGTGCTCTCCCACCAAGCAATCAGGAGGCGCCTTGAGGTACCGAGGTCACCCCTTTGCATGTGGTTCAGGCCACTCTGGCTCTCATACCCTTTGCTTCAATAAAAGCCCCAAGGGAGGCTGTGTCCCTGGGCCGTGGGTTCAAGACCACCAGGGCAGAGTGCTTGCCCCAGGAGCCTGGCACACAGGCATAGTCGTGGCAAGGAGACTGGTCAGGGCCCAGGGGACCTGCAGCCTCTAGTGAGGGAGGGACACTGCAGGGGAGGGACATTGGTGGGAGGTCCCCCCTCAGATGCCCAGGTCTCCCCCCACCAGGCAGTCAGCCAGCCTGCCCACAAAGATGTGCCAGTGCATTTGAACTCCCTGGTTCCACCTTCAGCTCTGGTGTCCCCATGCTGCCTGCACCACCTGGAGGCTGTCCCCGCAGTGGGCACACGGCATCCTGTAAGTTGGTACCAACTGCAGGGCAGATCCCCACTGCCAGCCAGGCTGGCTCTCTGATCGGGGCTAGCTGGAGTTTTGTTCAAAGGGGACAGCAGTCCTGGAACTCCCACCTTGCTGGGGAGCAGTGTGCAGAAGGGCTCCATTCATCTGTCACCCAGACCTAGTGTGGAAGGACCAGGAAGCCAAGTGCTGGCTGCTGGCCATTCGCACTGCACGTGGACAGACGCAGCGCCATTTCAAGCTTTGTATTCCTTGTTCTTTGCTCCTTGGCCCCACATCTGTCTGCTCTGTACAATGAAATACAAACTAAATGAATAGAAAAAAATAATTAAAGCATTCAATTGTACAAATTACAAATCTGTTCCAAAATATACTTACATTAAATAAAATACGCATCTCAGTAAGGTAGACGGTGGATTCTGGGTGGTGGATGCATTCTGGGGAGCGGGGGGATATGTGGGGGCCACACTCTGGGGGACAGAGAACTGCACCCAACCTCAGTCTGCAGCAGTGTCTTATTGTCAGTCTGCGGGTTACACTAACGTGTATTGCATCACTGGACTGGGCAGGGAAAAGCAAGCTCTAGCCGGAGGTGAGTTCATGAAGCTCTGCAAGGATCCCATCAATATACAGTTTGAATAAAGGAAAACACGGGCAGGTAAGCAGACCTCTCTTAGGACCCAGAAGACAAGCTCTGGCTGACTCTCGGTGGGCTTCTCCACTTCTGGGTACAACATGGACTGACCACGCAGGAGGAACAAGGGCACATGAGGCTGGAGAGGCGGGGCTCGCGCTCGTCCGAACGTTGGGCCCAGGGGCCTGTCCCACATCATCTGGCAAAGCGCTTGATATAGTCGTCCACCTTCTTCCGGAAGTCCTCCTGCGGTCACATGGGCAGAGAAGGGAGCGTTAGGGAGGGAAGGCACAGCGGGGTCAGCAGGCAGGGGTTACCCGCCTTCCTGGGATGGGTGGTGGGGTACACCCAGCAGGCCGGAACAGTGATGAGGCGGTGGGTCAAGGTCATGAGAAATGTGCATCTCTGAAGCCCACTGCCTTTTAAGATGGGGGCATCCTTGGGGCTCAACACCCACTCCAGGGCTGGGATCCTGCAGGGTCTTGTCTCCCACAGTGAAGCAGTGGGGATACCACCAGTGGAAAATGGTCCCTAAGCCAAGGTGTCACAGGGGCCAGCAGGCCACAGTGCTCCCCACTAGGCCGGCACTAAAGCTCCCTGGCCCTGAGCGACATTGGGCATCAGGTCACTGCCAGCCACAGGGCCATCCTGCCCGGGCTCATCGTGGGTACTCGCAGTGCCATGGAGGGCCTGAGTGTGGACACGCTCCATGCCCTCTCAGTCAGGTCTATCAGCGTGTGTCCGTCCCCTCCCCCCATCTGGCAATGAGCAGCAGCTGCTGGGTACAGGGGTGGCCTCAGTCTCAGCACTCGGCCCTCCGAGCTCTCCCACCTGCGACTCCTCCACACCGAAGACCTGTGTGCCCCGTGAGGGCTGATGCTGTGGTGTCCTAGTGAGAGGTGTTAGCAGCTGTGTCCTCAGGCCAGCGCTGCAGCCTGTCCCCCAGCACCAGGCCCATCAGGCTGGGCCCACAGCCCTGGGGAGATGGCCACTCCTGGCCAAGGACTCCTGGAGTGAAATGCACTTCCCTTTCCTTTCTGAACTTATAAAGGGTGTCTTTACATCAGTGAGCCTGGCTGCTGGTGCCTGTGTTCTCAGCCACCTTTTCAGTGAATCATTTTTACTTTTCTGAAAGATACTTTAGGTCTTTGTATGTTGCCATGTGTATGTTTACCTTTGATCTTAAATTTTTGCAAATACCAAGAAGGCACAGTTGTATCAGATTAACCAATTCCAGCCAGAACGCATTTCCACCTTGCCTATGTATAAGTGGACAATGTGTTTTCAGTAAGACCTGGTCTGGTGCCAACCTCACCATGGCTGCTCTATGAGTGTCTAAAAACTGCTTGACACTCCAGCTTGTGCTCCCTTATTTTTCATTCTCAATATGGGTTACATTTCATTATCAAGAAAACAAAAATCCTCATAATTGGACCAAGAGTCAACAAGGCTGATGGAGAAAAGACTGAAGTTTGTCGATTTCATTTCACTTGGATCCATAAGCACCATCCATGGAAATCAGTCAAGAAACCGAAAGATGTGGTGTATTGGAGAAATCTGCTGTCAAAGACACTTTGTGCTAAAGAGCAAGGATTTCAGCTCCAAGAATAAGCTGCACCTGGTCCTGCCGTGGTATTTTCAATTGCTCTACACGGATCTGGAAGTTGTAAATGAGTAAGAAAGACTGAAGAATGGAGTTTTTGAGTTGTGGAGTTGAAGAGTACTGAAAAATTCCATGGATTACAAGAAGAACAAACAAAATCGATCTTGGAGAAAGTGCAGCCAGGGTGCTTCTCAGAGGCAAAGGACGGTGAAGCGCTGTTTTACAGACTTTTGAGTATGTTGTCAGGAGGGACAAGCTGCTGGCAGAAGACATTGTGCTTGGACAAGTGGAAGGTCACAAAGGAGGGACTGACACGACCACAGCACTGTGCTTCAGCTCGGCAACGTTTCCGCCTGTTTCATGGAGTCACAGATGACTTGACAGTACCTAACAATCATCAACAGGAAGTCACTCTCCCTGTACCCACTGTCCACCCACGTCAAGCTGGTGACAGCTCACCTTGTCCCGAAGGTGGTGTTCTGCAGCTTCAATATTCAGTGGGTCATCAAAATTTAAAAGATCCTTAAAAAGAGAAACTAAAAGTCAATACCAGAGAATCTGCTTTTCTGCTACAGGTCCTTATTTTATGAAGTGGCCAAAGGAGACCTAACTGGCCGGGGTAGAATTGCCCGAGGACTATGAAATCCCAGTGAGAACGAAGCACCCTCTCCCCCAAAACAGTGACTCACAGGGGACTGCATACATGCACGCAGGAGAGTAGCAATCACTTTAATTTCTTGGGCTGTTTCTGGCCATCAGAAAATGAAAACTATCTGGTTACAAATGTGAGAAAACCAAAATACAGCACTCTTCTTGTAACTACATCTCCCTATTTTAAGTTACTTTGTGAGAATAACTTGGCCTTTAAGGCCGGGCATTCTTAACCCTCCTGCACGAGTGTCGGCAGCCTCAACAGTCTGTATCCTCTCCACACCGGGCCCCGCGGCTAGGCCACCGGTGCACGGGCCCCAGGGTCCCTTATCCTCAGAAGAGCACTCAAAGGCCTGGCCCCTGGTCCTGTAAGAAACACTACAGAAAAGATGCCCGATTCAAGATCAGAGATCGCATCTGAAGTTTCTACTTCTCCTTGTCAAAATCAGAGTAGTAAAATCTGTTCTCTGACGAACTGCTTTCTGCAGCACACCACATACGACGACGCACTGAGGGAACTCTCTTCAGAACCGTGTTAAAGCAGGTACTGTACCAACCAGATGTCAGAAACCAAGAAAAGCCAGAAGCACTGGTGATCAGACAGTGCCAGGGTTAGACTCCAAATTTTGGAAACGGGCAGAAATACAAGGATCACTTCCTACAAGCTGCCCACTGTATCTACCCTGCAAATGATGTTAGACATGAAATTTCCCATTCTCTTTATATTTGACCTAGTAGGAATATTCATGGGAATAACCACTACAGATTTGATTTACACATTTATTAGCTCTTTAGTATGTAGAGGGTATGGAAGGCAAACTTGAGAAGAGGAAATGGGGAGCTAACTTGGTGCCACCAGATTTCTTTAAAAACCAAACCAAAAGCCAAAGTCTTAGATTCCCTTCCATTAATTCTCCCGCAGCAGGGAGGCAGTCTACACTGCTTCACGAGTCACAGGAGTTGTAACGGGTTCTGGAAGATCTATGCGGCTGCTGGTGACGGTGAGTGTGTGGACTCCCCGGCAGGTCCAACCTAGCCTAGCGCCTGTCCTCGTCAACAAAGCTCAGGATGGAAGGGCATCCCGGTGACCCTGTTGAGCCGCGCCCTTCCTAGCCCCTCACGGGCCTTCCAGGACAGCCAGGCCAGTTCCCTGGCTGCTCAGCAAGGAGCCCCGGACAACGCCAAAGCTAGGGTCTGCAACAGGCCAGGCAGGAAGGGAGGAGAGCATGGGATTCCTCCTCCAAACAGGACATCTGAGATGAGGAGGGACCGCAGGGGTGTGACCACGGACCGTGCAAAACAAGAGGTGCAGCCACTCAGTTTACGGGCACTCGGCTGCAGCCCGGGCCAACTCCTTACAAGTCACCAGCTTCTATCATTTCAGGGGTAATGGTCAAAACAGAAGGCAAAAGAAGAAAAACTGGAATTGTGATCAATGTACTTACAGTAAATAAAGAGTTTAATCCCCAAACAACATCCTGCAAAAGAAAACAAGTTTCAGGCCCCTGAGCACTTCAAGCATTTCCAATCCGTGAGCGTGGACCACGCACCGCGCTCAGCAGAACTCACCTCCGGTGCTCTGCTTTTCTCTAGACGATCACAAGCACTTCCCTTACGCACCGCGATCCGTGGCAGGGAGGGCATGATGAGGGTGTCCCCTCCGCTGACCCAGCGCTATGCCATGAGGCCACAGGGACAGCCTCACCCCAAACCTACCGCCATCTCCAAAGTCAGGTCAGACTCCCAAGTCATCTTAAAAAGTAAGCGGCTAACTGTAGCCTCTTGGACCTCAGGCCCGCCCACTACCCTACTGCGGCGTAATAATGGGCTCTAAGTTTATGTTAAGGACAAGAGACTAGGAGCAGCCCGTCACTAGATCAAATGAAAACCGGCACGCTCTGTGCTAACTCATCGTTTATGACTTGGTTCAATGTCTTTCTAGCTTTTTCTCTCCGGGGTGAGGTCTTGTCTTTCTGCACATATTTTCATTCTCATCTTGGAACTGGTAGCTTGAGCTGCTTTCTCTCATCCATGCATCCCTCGTCCCTGACCTCTTGGTAGCAGCTGGTGCTGTGGATGAGGTGAGGGTTGGGCTGGTGAAGGACGGACAGACAGACGGATGTGTTAGTGGGAGGAAAGGCTGGCTTGGAGGTGGCAGAAGACCTACCTTCAGTGTCCTGGTGGGGGCCCAGCCAGTGCCATCAATCGAATGTTCTCGCAGTAAACTACAACAGATACAGAAGCCAAAGGTCAGGAGGAGCACCCGCTGATATGGGACACCACAGACGGCTCTGGGCTTGTTTTCTCCAGGCTGCCTTGTGACATTTAGCTAAGCAGGCAACTCATGGTTCACGTCACACAGTAGGTGAGTGAGGCCCGTGAGGGCTGCCGGTCTTCTGGAGTCCTGCAGCTGTCACATGTGAGAGGAAGGCGTATGGGGCTCCGAGGCAGGGATCTAGCATCCAGGCCTCAGTAGAGGAAATGACAAAAATGGAGGAATAAGCCCAAACACTAATTTTAAAATCCACCGTTTCAGAATTTCAGGTCTCTGTGTTAAGACCCTCTACCTTCAGTCAAGGAAGAGGGCAAGGAGCTTGTCTGACCTTGTGCCCTTCTGCACGAGAGTCCCACAGATGTGGCTCAGATGGGCCCTGGCAGACCCCCAGTCTGTTCCAAAGAAGACAGACACCTCATGTTCCCAAGCCCAGTCTTCTCAAGCCAGGTCCACTTTTGGCTTTCTGGATTTATTTTTCTCCCTTAAACTATAATTAGTTACACTGATGGAGCACAGGTCTGCCTTTAAACAGGAGGCAGTAAATTTTCAAAGAATAATAAATAGATGGCAGAAGAGGGAGGAGCTCCTGCCTTTGAAGCTCTCCTGGAGGCTGGGCCTGAACCACAAGGAGCCAGCAGGCAGAGGTCAGTGCTGGGGCAGGCCAGGGCCTTGCGCGAGTGTCCCAATCTCCTCTCAGGGCCATCAATTTTAAAAGCACCGCCATCAAGCCCATGACACAAACATGCAGAGAAAAGTAGAAAGGACCTGCCTCAGACAGATGTCTCCGGTCTCTGTGATGTTGGGGTGCCAGATTTTGGTCAAGCATTTCACTTTGGGAGGCTGTAAAACAGAAAGAAACAACTCTGTGATGGCTCTGTGGTCCCAGCAAAGACACAGATGGTATCCGAATGGCTCGTCTCACTCTCACCCACAGGAGTGTTTTCACAAACGGTCCACTACTGCTGACCTCAGAAGCTGATCCAGCCCAGCCCCACACCACTTCTCCAAAGGCTATGTGTAAGTGGGGCCTGATGGTCCTTCTCTGGACATGGGACGGGAGGAGGCGGAAGTCCATTCAGGGAACTCTGTTCTCCGGGCCCCAGGATTCAGTAAGGAGTCGCTAGACATGTCTGCACTGTAGCTGAATGTGTTGTGCTTGGTAGGATGAAACCCTAGTACAGGTTATGCTTAAGAAGAGGGGACAAGAGGGACAGTGAGGGTAGGACCAGAGCCCAGCCACGCACGACATCATGTATGTCTGTGGCTAAGTTTTTCTTTTACAATTTATACCACCCTCTAATTCAGGGGAACAAAACGGGGTGGTGGTGTAGGAAGTATATGCACTCCAATCAGTAGCTTCCTAACACCCTACCCGACGTGTGTTTTCTGAGACCCTGTGGAGGACACACTGACCTCTTCCTGCAGGTTTGGAACGTGCGCTGTGTGCAGGCTCCGTGGCTTCAGCCATCCCTCTAGGTACCTTTCCAGGGCAAAGCAGCACTTACAGAGTCGGCGCCCTGTTCCTGCGTGCTCATGCTGCCTCTGGTCCAGTCTAGTCTAGAACAAGCTGTGCTACCCCAGGGCCCCATCTCCAGTCCAGCCTCTGTTCTTTCCTCAGGACAAAGCCCAGGAACAGGACCTGCTGGAACACCACCTTCTGCCCCCGAGCTAAGTGTCCCTGCTGCTGGGAAGGGTGGGCTGCACAAGTCCTCAGGCCCGAGGGCACCTTGGCTTGACCTGCAGTCAATGGCTCCTCACAGCCTCTCCCCAGACTCCTCGTCTGCAGGATACTGAGACTGTCTACCTTCTGTTTGTGGGGCCACTTCTCCCCACACTGTCTTCTGTTTTGATTCTTTTCTGTGGTGTTTAATTTTTACTGAATTTTTATACTTTGATAACCTACTTAGGAAATACTTCCCCATGCCAAAGGACTGCAAACCTCTCCCGGGTCTGTTCTGCATTCTTGTATGCTCATCCTTTGATGTGACTTTTACAGAGTTCTAATGAAGTCCCTTTCTGACTCCACATCGTGAGACTGCCAGATGAATGAGCTAAGTGTCAAAATTTCAGTCTAAGGACTAAAACAAAATGCATATGAGTGAACAAGCCTCATGATTTCTCTCAGAGAAACAAAAAATAATTGTCAGATTCAGGATGAGTTTGAATGTCTGTTGGCAGCCGTGATATGTTTCTCTACAAATACACAGGGACACATCCACGGGAAGTAAGGTCTGAAGGAAGTCGTTACGTGCCAGCGAGTCAATACAACTCATAGTGACCCTTTGAGCAACAGATCTAAAACCTGCCCTGTCCTGTGCTATCCTTACTGTCTCCACCACACTTGAGTCCATCGCTGCAGTCATTATCAACCCATCTTTTGAGGGTCTTCCCTTCTTATAGTAACCCCCCACCTTTCCAAGAACGAAGTCCTGCAAGGAACACTCATTTTCACTTTCTCCAGGACAGACATGTTTGTTTTCTTGGCAGCCTATGAAATATTCAGTACTCTTCTCCAAAACCTCAGCACCTCAACAAAGGTATCCATTATTCTTCATCATCCTTTTCCCTGTCATTTTCAGGTATACAGGAAGCAACTGGGAAGACCATGGTTTGGATGAGGTGCACTTCAGTCTTTAAGCTGACATCACTGTTCTTTAGGATTCTGGAAAGGTCTCTCACTGCAGATTTTCCCAATGTGATTTGTCTTTTCATTTTGACTGCTAGTGCCAAAGGTATTGATTGTGGATCCAAGCAAGATGAAATTATTAACAACTTCAATCTCTTCTCCATGGCCCAGTGGTGAGAACTTTTGTTTTCTTGATGTTGCGGTGTAATTCACATTGAAGCCTGTAGTCTAGATCTTCTGCAACAAGTGCCTGAAGTCCTCTTCACTCTCAGCAAGTAAGGTTCTGTCATCTGCATAATGCAAGCTGTTGATGAGTCCCCCTCTGATCCTGATGCCACAGTCTTCTTCATATAGTCAGTTTCTCAAATGATTTGTTCAGCATACAAATGGAGTAGGTACAGAGAAAAGTCACAGCCCTAAAGCACACCTTTTTTAAGCCTTTGCTCTGTTCAGACAACAGTTTTTCTTGGTCTAGGTATAGTTTTCACATGAACACAATTGTGGTTTTGGAGTTTCATTCTTCTCAATGGTAACTGTACTTTGTTGTCATCCACATAGTCAAATGCCTTTTCATAGTAAATAAGACACAAGACAGATATCCTTTGGCTATTCTTTGCTTTCTGCCAAGACATATCTGATATCCGCAACAGTAACACTGGTGCCATGGCTGCTTGGAAATCTCCTGAAATTCTGGCAGTTCTCTGCTCTAGCTGTTTCTGAGTAATCTACATCAAGATTTTGCCTACATGTAATATTGTTCGGTACTGGCACATTCTGCTGGATCACCTTTTTTAGGGAATGGGAATAAATATGAATCTTTTTGAGTCAGTTGGCCAGGCTGCCGTCTTTCAGATGCCAAGGCACAGTCAGTGAGCACGTGCAAGGTTGTATCTGTTTGTTGGACTATTTCAATTCCTGGGGCTTTATTTTTTTCCAATGCCTTCAGAGATGCCTGAGTTTCTTTTTGAATAACTACCTTTCAGGAAGGAAGTGAGGTGTCTGCGTGAAGGATAGAGTTTGAAGGAAGGCATGTGAGGGAAGGAAGGTCAAGAAAGGATGGTGCGAATGAATGGAAATCCAGAATCTCAGTCAATGTTCATTAAAATTAATAAATAAATAAAGAAAGGATGGTGCCCCAGGGGAGGACGGTCCCTGAGGGATGGAGATGCCTGAAGGGCAGACGGTGCTCGTAAGAAGAAACACCAAGCATCCTGAACCTCTTGTCGGCTCTTGGTGACTGCTCAGTGTCACAGCCTGGGTTTAGACTGAACCACTGACTGCAAAGGGCAGGGTCACCTTCCCTCCCACGCCAGTGTCCCCTCAGAATCCAGGTCAAATGCTCCTTCTACCAGGGGGTACTGCCCCTCTTAGGGACACGGTTCTCTCCTTACCTCTCCTGCCTCGTGCTCTCTGGTCATGACTAAGATGCTGACGCAGATGCCCCTCTGGACCAGCAGACAGTGGAGCTCTGTGCCAGATGCTTAGAGCCTGCCCATGGACACAACGTGCTCAGAGCAAGATAAACCCAGAACAGCCCTTTCACCTTTGATCCCTACAGTACTGGCTGGTACTGCTGCCTGCCCAAAGCTAAGAATGTCCATAAACACAAGGGAGAGTCCTTCTCAGAGAAGAGGAAAACCAGGTGGCTCATCTGTAGGCTCTGAGGGCCAGGCAGGTCACACAAGAAAGTGGAAAAGCTAAGTAGATCCAATACACAAGAAAAGAAGAAGAAATAACAAATTCTTACACAACAACAACTAAAAGCAAAGAAACGTTTCAGTCATATTTTATAGAAATAGCTCTTAAAAATCTGTAAGAAAAAAAATACTCCAATGGAAAGATAAGCAAACGACAGGAAGTTGCTGTCATCAGGTCAAGTATGACGCATAGTAACCCTATGAACAAGAGATCGGGACTCTGTCCTAGTTTGTGCCATCTCTCCACCCTCGACACACTTCAATCCTTTGCACAGACACTGTATCAAACCATCTTGCTGAGGGCCTTCTCTGACTCTCCACCTGTCCAAGCATCATGTCCGTTTCCAAAGAATAAACAGCCTCTCCTAACAACACGTCCAAAATATGTGAGACGAAGCTTCACCGTCAAGGAACATTTTGGCTGCACTTTCTCCAAGACACATCTGCTTGTTCTCTGGAAGTCACTCTTCTCCACCTCTACAGCTCAAAGGCACTGATTCTTCTCCTCATGAAAAGTATTAACAGTAAGAATAACAGGCAGTATCCTACTTACTTAAAGATGACAAATTCAAATAATGATTTAATACCCTTTCACCCAAAATAACAAAAAAGAAGCATGAAGGGATGTGATCTTCATGCATATTTAGGAGAAGAGTCTTTTCAAATACTGATGGTATGTGAGGACGACATTTGGCATAAACTCGGGCTAATTTAGTAACAAGTCTCTAAGAGCTTTAACAGGAAAGCCAACTGCTCAAAGCTCGCTAACTCCACCTCCAGAAACTGGCCCAGAAAAGAAAAGCAAATTATCTCCACCAACCGTGTGTCAGGGACACCACTCCCGTCACCCAGAGCCAACAAACTCCAGCCCCTGGTCTATCCTACACGGCCCTGGAACTAAGAACGGCTTTCATGTTGTTAAAGGGTTTTGTTTGCTTAAAAAACAATATAGGGGGAGACAGAGAATATGGGCCAGGCTGGGGGGGATGTGCAACAGTTAATGAACAAAAAAAAGAATATGTGACAGAAATGAACACTGCTCTCAAAAGGCCCCTCTACGGAGAGTACAGGGCACTCTGGTGACTTAGGGGTAAAGGGCTGCACTGGCAAAGCAAAGGCATGAGGACTGAATCCACTAGCTGCTCTGTGGAAGAACAGAAGTACATTCGTAAACAAAACGTGCTTTCTTTCGTCAGTCCCACCGTGTGAGGTGCCTGCACTGTGCCAGCAGCACGCGCGTGGAGGTGGCGCGGCCTCGGAGGTCAGGCCTTCTGGTGCCGTCCCGTGCTGGTGTCTGTGGACAGCTGGACTCCCAGGGCTGCTGGGATACTATGGGGGACTCGCTAAAGTTTCCTCAGGGAGGGAGTTTCTCCGCTAGGACACTCTCTGCTGTCAGTGAGTGACATTAACCACAGCGTCTCGCCTGTCCCCAGCTGAGCGAACTAAGGAGTGGCTGAAGCACAGGCGGGTGCTGGGCGTGGTGGCATCGGCCACCATGGAGCGGACTCTGGCCGGGGATGGCAAACAACAGGCTCAAATGCGATGTACTCACCACCATGTTGTACGCATCAGGAACTTCAGTCTCAAACTGAAATTTTCCACCCTGGTAGTAACCCTCATCTATCAAAAAGCACAAAACAAAACAAGTCTTTAAATTAAAAAAAGAAAAGGAAACAAAAAGCGAATGTTCTATTCGGACATAACAAATACAGAGCGGCAGGAAGACCACAGCGGGGCGGAGCACACGCCCTCGATCTCATCTGCGCAGCAGCTCGGCACAGACGGGCCCTGTCTGCTCTGCGGGTCCTCGGGGCCACCGGCTCCTCCGGCTCGTGGCTGCTTAGCGGCCCCGCAGTCCCTGCTCCTTGCGCTGCTCCCACCTCACCTCAAGGAGCCACCAGGTAAAGCGACTAGGTGTCTGGTCTCTCTTCAAGAAGACTCTCTAATGGCTCATCAGGGCTGAGGGAGGCTGACCTCATCTTCACACTACGGCCAGTCCGCAAGCATCTCCTCACCTCCCCCTCTGCTGGTGCAGGTGGCAAGCAGGGTGGGATGGCCCACTCTCAGAGTAGGGGTCCCGGGCTCACGTGAGGCCAGCCAGGCTCTGCACTGACTGAGCAGGCCTGCCAGCACGGCGGACGTGGACGAGCTGGTCATTCCTCGTGTTCACACTGGCCAGCATCAGTGCAGACTGGGGAATATTCAAGTACACTGCCCCTTACACATAAATCACGGAAGGAACATTCTAGCTCCAGGTGCTGAGACCACTCACGGCAAAGTCCAGTGCGGGGCAGGCAAGCTGGCAGGCCCCTCACCGAGTGGAAAGACGGCAGCCCTCAGCCACTTTGGCATGCCGCCGGGAACCTGCTGGGCTTCTCTCAGGAACAACTGTTACCCACCTAGATGCCCGGGTCTGTCCTCCAGCCGACAGGGCAGCTCCCCACCTGCGCTCCCACCCCACACGCTTCTCTACCTGCCTTTCCCTGTCATGCACTCGACAATTTCTGCTCCCACCCAGTCGCTGCGCAGCCGTCCCCTGGTCTAGCGTTCTCATGTCGGGGTATGGTTCCTGACCCAGGCAGCCTGTCCTTCCAGTCACTGGAACCACAGCTGCTCTTCACTTGCTGGGCGAGTGCAGGCGTCTTATTTTTCTTTCATTTTACAGAGTACGTCTCTTTCTGGAGAACAATCTGCTCTCACACCCTTTCCGCCTCTGCACAGCTTCTTGACCTGGTCCCATCTGTAGGTCTCTGAACTTGCTCCTAAATGTCAAAGAAGAGCAGCTGGGAGTGGAGCGGGAGCACGCTTTCCTCAAGGAGCACCACTGGAGGGCCTGGCGCAGCTCCGGCCTGCTCTTCATGTGCCTTTTCTGTTTGGAGCTGGCGGTGGGGGCGGGTTGCTGGTAGGCACCACAGCCCTGAATGTTCCTTCCAAGCCTGGGCCAGGCCACCACGAGGGCAGGGCGACAGCTGCTGCAGCTGGAAACATTCTGCCTCTAAGTTTACTGGGGGTACAACACAAGCAGCCAATGGAGGGAAGGGAAGCCTGGCATTGCCACTCACCGTCTGCTCCCGTCCCCACTGTGACCACCCCTCTGCCTTTGACGTACCCAACGTCCAGTGTCTTCAAACAGTGCTATGACAGAACAATTACGAGATGTCATCTCACCCGAGCAATAGTAGCAACATTCAACAGGATGGCAAACAACAAATGATAGCGAGGCAGTGGAGAGACTGAACACTTATTCACTGTTGGTAGGAATGCCAAATGGTACAGCCACAATGGAAGGCCATCTGGCATTTTCCTCAAAACGTTGGAAACAGAAATACCATTTCACAAAGTAATTCCACTGTGTGAATATACCCTAAAGAAACCAGAGCTGCCATTCAAACTGCCGTATGTACACTCACGTTTTGTTGTTGTTATGTACCATCAAGTCACCTGCGACGCATAGCGACCCTATCTATGTACAACAGTCCTAAACCCTGCTCAATCTTGTGCTAATCTTATTGTCTCTGACACATCTACCTCCATTACCCTAGTCACTGAATCAATTCATCTCACTGAGGGTCTTCCTCTCCTGCATTGTCCCTCCACCCTCCCAAGCATGACATTCCTCTCTAAGGATTGGTCCCTCCTTGCAACATGTTGAAAGTATGTCAGACGGAGCCTCAGAATCCTTGACTCCAACGAGCAGCCTGGTTTAACCCTCTCTAAGATGAACCTGTTCTCCTAGCAGTCCATGGTATATTAAACACTCTTCTCCAGCACCACAGCTCAAAGGCATCAATTCTCCTTCTATCATCCCTAGTCACTGTCCAGCTCTCTGATGCGTAGCAAATAACTGCAAAGATTATGGCCTGTATCAGGCACACCTTAGTCTCCAGACTGACACTGTTGCTCTTCAGTACTTTGGAGAGGTCTCTGACAGCAGACTTTTCCAGTGCAATTCATCTTTTGATTTCCTGGCTGCTGGTACCAAGTGCTGACTGTGGAGCCAAGCAAACCAAAGCTGTTAACAATCTTGATCTCTTCACCATCCATCATGGTGCTGCCAATTGGCCCAGTGATGAGAATCTTTGTTTTGACGTTGAGCTTCAATCCATAGTAAAAGCTGCAGTCCTTAACCTTCTGCAGCAAGCACTTCAGGTCCTCCTCAGTTTCAACAAGCAGGGTTGTTTCATCTGCATAATGCAGACTGTTGATGAGTCTACCTTCATCTTGATGCCACGTTTCTCCTCGTAGAGCCCAGCCTCCCGGATGATCCGCATATAGATTAAAATAAGGTATGAAGATAGGATACATCCCTGGCATACACCCTTTCCAATTTTGAAGACTGCAGGAGATGACACAGTGACTAGCAATGGGGCCGGTGTGTTGGAGATGGTGAGGCTGGCTCTGGATGGGGGAGGGGTTCAGAGTTGTTCACAAGTCATTGAGTTGTCAACTCAACGGCACAGAACAGCATCAAGTGCCCTGACGATTTTGGTACCCTGAGGCTACACAAGTAACAGAGAAGTCAGCAGTTCAAAGCCATGGGTATTCCATGGAAGAACTGGTGGCTGCTCCGGTAAAAATCTTAGCCTAGGAAATCCGTGAGGAAGCTCTACTGTCTTACTGGGTTGCAGGGAGGCAGAACTGCCTTAGCATACCGTAAGAGTGGCCCGATGGCTATACACTTGGCTGGTGGTTTGAAGCCACCAGCAGCTTCACAAGAGAAAAGATCTGCCAATCTGCTAGTAAAGATTACAGTGAGGAGATAAGGCATAGGCTCCACTGGTCACTAGTTTTGCACGGTGTCCAATAGCAAAAATAATGCATCTATTACAATGGCTAAAATTTTAATTACCCATATGCCAGTTTGACTCCAGTGAAGAAAATTAAAACAAGCCCACAAGAACAAAAAAGGATCTGAGTTGTTCTGGGCCAATCTGCTGTGAAGGACTTCTTTAAAACGATACAGGACAAAGATGTCCGTTAAAAGACAAAAGTGGGCCTGACTGCAATGAGCGATGGACAGTGTGTAAGAAGTCCAAAGGAAGCCTCTGAATGGTGGTGAAGGTGAAGAGCACCGAATAGTTCATGAACTGCCAAAACGATACACACATCTGTGTGGTGGAAGTACCACTTCAGTGCTCCTTGGAGGGACAGACGGTGAGCCTTTGTCTCACATATATGTTGTCAGGAGGCACCTACTCTTCGGAAAAAGACATCATTCTCACAAAAGTAGAGGGTCAGTGAAAGAGACAATGAATGTCGGAGATAGGTGGGCACCTGTGGACTTGGGCATGGTGCCGACCTTGAGGATGGCACTGGATTCGCTGCCACCACAAAATAAAGGCAGGTGGTGTGTGACGAGTGCACTGAGCACAGGCTCAGGGCGATGACAACAGCCCAGCGTGCACCCACGACAAACAGACGCTGAGAACTGTCAGCCAGAGTCACAGAGACACAGTGACCATGGCAGAGTGAATTCCCAAACTGTAACAAACAACTGTGTTGTGGCCTCAAGAACGCTAAGAAAAACAAGATCAAAGATGCTATGGTTGACATAATCTCAAAAATCAAAACATCAACATGTTACAATGAAAAAATGACCCCATCCACCCAGCGGTTACACTTGCCACAAAGTATGCTATGTCAGCCAGTAAAAGCCTCTGCACAAGTGTCTTCTGCCCAACCTACGTAAACACACTCTCTAAAGGAAGAGACGGTGAAAGTAAAAAAAAAAAAACCCACAACAGCCTCAGACTCCTTAGTGAGGGCCTGAGAAGGCCCGACAGTCATTTCTGACAACATCCACGTGACTGACCGCACCTCCCGAGTGTTTCCAATGTCACAGGTAAAGAGGTGCCGGAGGCATTCAGGGATCTCCGGAGCCCATTCCAAGAGCAGTGTTGACAGGTAGTAAGTGCCGTCCAGGTGTAAGCATGTGGGCAGTCAGCTGTCAACTGCAGGGATGCTGAACAAGCGATCCACTGTGCCCAGTGCCCTGAGTCGATTCTTTAAAGCTTTTAAGCACATTTTGATTCCGAGACTCCTCGTAGTAGCATATGTGTTGTGCTGCTAAGCAAAAGGTCAGCAGATCAAATGCACGAACGAGCTTCTCAGCAAGAGAAAGCCGGGCAGCCTGTGCCCGTAGGATTTACAGCCTTGGAAACTCGAGAGAGGGCTGCTGTGAGCTGCAACAGTCTTAATGGCAGGCATTCAGGCTCTCCTGTTACAAGGTGCTCTGCAAGCATACTGCACAGTCTGCTACTGCAAACTAAAAGGCCAGTGGTTCAAAGCCAGGAACTTTTTTGCAGGAGGAAGATGGCCAGTCTCCTGCAGTTAAGACTTACAGCCTTAGCAAGCTGATGGAGTCACCATGGGTCGGAACTGACTCGGCAGGAGAGGATATGCTTTGGTTTTTTGCTTTGTTATTATAAAAGCTCCCCTACAGTAAAGCCCAAGCTGCTCCATGGGGACAGACATGGCCGGTGCTCAAGCCTCGTCACAAGCACACTGGGACTCTGAGCTCTGCCATCCTGTCATTGGCTGATGACTCAGAATTCTCAGTTTCTCACTCCTTTTCCCAAAATAAAATCACACCCCACATTTTCTCCTTGGAACTCCCTGCCCCTGCTCATTCCCATGCCCTCACCACTCAGAGCCAGCGGCCCCTGAGAGCAGGTGGGCTGCAACAGTGTGAGCGGACTCCCCTTGAGAAGGCGCACGTCCTGCCCTGTGCTGCCCGGGTTCGAGCACGAGAAGCGCCAGTCAGCAACCTCGGGACAGCCTGGATCAGACATGCATGGGGCCACCAACAGCAGCTGGTCATCTCAGCCCAGCCCCACGGACACTGGGCCTGCTTCCGCGCCACGTACTCACAACTGCCCTAGGCGCTCCCAACTCTAGAGATGGGCAAGCCCCAGTGCTTAGTCGGTTAAGTTGTTAACTAAAAGGTTGGCAGTTCAAATCCACAGCTGCTCTGCAGGAGAAAGGTAGGCAGTCTACTCCCAGAAAGACCACAGCCTCAGAACCTTGACCACAGCCCTAATTCGGCCCCACAGGGCTCCTATGTGCCAGTATCATCCCAGGGGCGTTTTCTTAGGTATTGATGGGCAAGCCGTGGCATCTAGGGCCAGCTCCGTGCCTGAGGTCACACGGACATTGCTGCCCAGAGCAGAGCCTAGCTAGGACCTCTGAGTCCCACACACCTGCCACCTTAGGCACCATTCACTGTCACCTCCTGTTACAGGAGTCACTCAGATGACAGCCTACAACACAGGATGCTGCCTTCACATGCATTTATATCACCATTTTCAGTAAGTTAGGGCTCACCAAGCTCAGATTTGAGCCTTTAAATGTGCTGTACCTTTACAATGTGCTGTAGAAATTTGCGTACACTCGCAGGTGTATGACATTACCTGGGGTCACCGTCAGCTGGAAGCAGTGGAGCTTGTTCGGATCAGGAAAGTGGACTCTGCAGGTACCTGCAAAAGAGAAGCACATCAGGCACAGCTGGCACTGGCTGCCACGGCTGACCAGAGGCTGGCAGAGACTACAGAACAGGAGGGCTCTCCAGGCTGAGAGGTGAGGAGGCCGACCCACAGTGCCAGCCGGGGCGTGGGGGGAGGGGGGCGCACCAGCCGGGGCCTTCTGCCTTGTCTCCTTTATGGTCCTCCACTCCTCACTTGCAGGGATGAGACCATCAGCCTTTAAATGGTCATAAAGACAGAGGGCGCTCTAACGCCTTCAAGAAGTTCACTCCTTCATTGAGACATCTCACCTCAAGTTGTAAGACGTGGCTGGGGGCTAACTACCTGGGTGGACAAAGCACGCCCAGCTCCTCCTCCGCTGTGCCTACTGCACTCACTCGTGCCCACTGCACTCACTCGTGCCCACTGTGCACTGTGAGCAAGGAGGCTACCTTACACCCCAGAGTTCACAACTCGTCCTGTCTTCAAAGCCTGCACAAGCTACGACTCGTCAGCTTGGCTGGCTTGCTCTCCTGTTAAATGACGCTGGGTCGACCTGGAGGGCGCATCTGTCCCACAAGCTGAAGGCCCCTGGGTCAGGACAGTGTTCCCCCACTGAGGGAAGAGCTACTGGCTATGGGCAGACGTGGCAAGTAGGCTACAGCCCACATTTCCTTCACACTAAGGACATAAACTCCACCTACTCCTGTCGAGTAATTCCAACTGAGCCACCTTAGACAACAGCGTCGAGCTGCCCACGAGGCTGGCATCTGTGGACGTGGAACTGCCACATCTTTCTCTCTTGGAGAGGCTGGTGGATTGGGACCATCACTCGTTCTGTCAGTGGTCAAGCACTTAACCCAATGTACCACCACCAAGGGCCCCTCTAATGACGAAGTCCTGAAGCCATGGACTCAGAGCCAAAGGGAGTAACCCACTATGTCTGTCAACTCAGGAAGCACCCTGCTCCGTCCTGCAGGTCACACTCTGTCCTTTCTCAGCAGTTCCCCCAACAAGACGGCTCTGATTCTCAGTGCTGGAAGCTTTCATGCTGCTGAAGGATGCATGTGATCGATGTTAGGTGCCTCACCTCACTGAACTGGCTACATGAAAAATGCCGCCTCACCTCACTGAACTGGCTACATGAAAAATGCCAAATCAACAAGCACTGTGCTATATGTACCTTTCCAACAATTCAGATATGGGTAAAATGGAAAATCATCACCATATATTTTATAGTAAAATCCTAAAAAAAGGGAAAAGTAACAGAAAATGTTATTATCGTTATGTGAGCAACAGATCTGAACGCTGTCCTGCCCACTCCATCCTCACAACCTGACACGCCTGAGACACCTGGTACTGTGTCACTTCATCTTGCTGAGAGCAGTCTTCTCTGTCACTGACATCCCACCTTTTCCAGCATGTTTTTCCCCCCAGGAATTGGTCTCTCCTGACAGAATGGACAAAGTTTAGGAGACAAAGTGTCATCATTATTTTTGTACTTCCTAAGACAGACTTGTTTGTTCTTCTGGCAGTCCATGGACTGACTACTCAGTACTCTTCCCCAACACCATAATTCAAAGGCATTGCTTTTTCTTTTCTCTTTTTTATTAACTGTTGGTATTTTCAGATGCATACGAAGGAAATTAAAATATCATGGCGTCGTCTTTAAACTGGCATTCTTGCTCTTCAGCTCTCTGGAGAGATTCTCGACAGTAGAGTTTGCCAATGCAACACGTCTTGGTTCTGACTGCAGCTACCATGTGTAACTGTAGATCCGAATAAAATGAAATCCAGTGCTGAGGGTTTCTGTTTTCCTGATGCTGAGATGTAATCCATTATTAAGAATGTCTAGCCAATAGGAATAGTTAGGCTAGTAGAGTAAGAGCCAATAGGAATTAGGTTAGAAGCTATCTAGGCTAAGGGTATATAAGGGGCTGAGGGGAGCAAGGAAAAAAAAGCACCATTACCAGAATAAAGAAGTATCAAGCTGCAAAAAAAAAAAAAAGAATGTCCAAGCTTGTCAGTAACTCACTTTCTGCAAGCAAGGCTGTATTGTAAGTTAGACTGTTGAGGAATCTTCCTCCAATCCTGATTCCACATTTTTCTTCATGTAGTTCAGTTTCTTGAATGATTTGCTTAGCAAAGACAGTCTAGGTATGGACAAAGGATACAACCTGACACACAACTTCCCTTATTTTAAACTATGCAGTGCTCCACTGTTCTGTCCAGATGACTGCATCATGGTCTACAAATAGGTTCTGCGTGAGCACAACCAAATGTTCTGGGATTCACATTCTTCTCAATGTTAGCCATAGTCTCTTATGATCCACACTGTAAAACGTCTTTGTGCAGCTAAAACACACATGTCAACTCCTAACATCAGCCATCCGATCCTTCGTTTCTGTGTATCTTCGGAATCTAGCTTGAATTTCTGCCAGTTTCTTATGTATCTAGACCGTTCTGCCTATTTTTCAATAATCTTCAGCAACATTTTACTTGTATGTGATACTAATAGTATTGTTTGGTAATTTCTGCACTCTATTGTATTGTCTTTTTCTGGAAAAGGAAAAACACGATCTCTTGCAGTGAACTGCCAGGTAGCTGTCTTCCAAATTTCTCGCATAGACTAGTGAGCATTTCCAGGGATGTGTGTGTGTAGAAACACATCAAATGGTATTTCATCAATTCCTGGGGCCATATTTTTTGTGAAGGCCTTCAGCACAGCTTGAATTTCTTCCTAGTTACCATTGCACTGGCTCTTGGTTATATACTGCTTCCTAAAATGGTTCATATTGGGGAGCTCTGGTGGCCTAGTGGAAAGGAGCTGCAACTACAATCCCAGAGGCGCATGGTTCGAATCCACCAGATGCTCTGCCGGGGAAGGAAGAACAATCTCCTCCTGTACCAGTCAGATCTGATTTGATGGTACACTCACACAAAAATAATAAAATAAAATAAAAAAAGTTTTTAAAAAAATGGTTCGTATTTCTCATGCACCTGTTTTCATTTTCTTTAGACTCAATTTGAACTTGCACAGTCCACCCCAGCCTAGTGTTGACTGCTGATACTGAGCTTATCCAACGATGTCTTCCACAGATAGTTAATTTGATTCCCACGCATCCCATTAAGTGAGGTTCATGTGTAAAGTCAACGTGGTTTTTAAAAAAGGTATTTGCAATGAATAAATCACTGACCATACAAAATTCCATCATTTTATTTCCAGTCTCATTTCTGTCACCAAGTCCACACTTTCCGGCTGCCATTTCTTCATTGTTTTCAACTTTTACATTCCCATCACCAATTACCATTATGCATCTTGATTGCATGTTTGGTCAATTTTGGCCTATAAGATTTGGTAAACAATTTCAAATTTCTCCTCTTTGACTCTAGCAGTGTATCTTTCAATAATGGTCATATTAACAGGTCTTCCCTGTATATGTATGAATAATATCTTCTCACTCACAACACTGCACTTCAAAGTGACTTTTTCAACTACAAATGCAACACTATTCTTCTGTTTTTCATTTCTAGCACAGTGACCTCATTCCTACCATGTGATTATCTGAGTGGCCAAAAACTATTCCATCTCATCTCATTAACGCCCAGAATGTCAATGTTTGTGTTTTGCTTCAATACTTCGGGATATTGTTAGGAGAGGCTATTCATTGGAGAGGACCATCACGCTTGGAAAGGTGGAGGGGAGTCGCCAAAAGAGGAAGACTCAACCAGATGGACTGACACAGTGACAGCTGCGACAGGCTTGAGAGTGTCAGGAAGTGTGGCGATGGCACAGGATAGGGCAGGGTTCAGATCTGATGTTCACGGGTCACTATGGGTCACACTCAACCCGATAGCATCCAATAACAACAGAACGGGGCAGTGCTGACAAGTCTTTGTATGACTATTCTTTCCATCTTCTTTTGATGCTTCCTGTATCACTCACAATTTTGTCCCTAGAATCTTTCCATATTGCAACTCTAGGCTTGAATCTGTTTTTTTCTTTCACTTTGAGAAATGTTAAACATGTTCTTTCTTGTTGGTTTTCTAACTCCAATTCTCTGCACATTTTGTCATAATACTTTGCTCTGTCTTCTCTGTTCTTTGAAATCTTCTGTTCATCTCTCTTACTTCATTTCTTCTTTTTGTTTTGGCTTATGTTCTAGTGTCAGTTTCAGAATCTCTTCTGACCTCTATTTTGGTCTTGTCTTTGTAATAATAACCTTTTGCTTTTTTCACTAATCATGCTCTTGCTGTCATCCCATAACTCATCTGGTCTTCAGTCATTAACACTCAACGCGTCAAATCTAATATTGAAATAGTTTTTAAACTAAGTTGGGATACACTCAAGGTCATAGTTTGGTTCTGGTGGACTTGCTTTAATGTTCTAGATCTTCAATTTGAAATTACGAGTATTTGATGGTGTGTTCCACAAATAGCCCTGGCCTTTGTTTTGATGACTTGTTTTTTTCTTCCCCATCAATTCTTTCCACAGATGTAGTCAATCTGACTCCTGTGTAGCCCATTATGTGACGACCATGTGTATCATTGTTTAAAAAGGTACTTGCAATGAATGATTCAACTGTAAAAAAATCTCTCATTTGATCTCCAGCCTCATTTCTGCCACCAAGCCTTATTTTTCAACTACTAATCCTTCTTTGTTTGCAATTTTTTAATTCCAGTCATCAATTATTAATAATACATCTTTATTCCAGGTGTGATCAACTTCAGACTTCAAAAGTTGGTAGAAATTCTCAATTTGTCAATCTTTAGTTTTAGTGGTTGATGTATTTGAAGAATAATTGTATTAACAAGTCTGTAATGTGTGTATATACCATCGCTTATAGAACTGTACTTCAGGATAAATCGTGAAATGTTCTTTTTGACCATGAATGAAACACGTTTCCTCCTCAATTTGCGTTTCCAGCATAATAAACCATATGACTGTCTGATTCTAAGTTGCTAACACCAGTCCATCTCTGCTCACCAACACCTAGGCTGTTGATCCTTATGCATTCCATGTCATTTTTTACAATTTCCAATTTTCCTAGAGTCACACTTGATACAGTCCGTGTTCCAGTTATTAATGACTGTTTGCAGCAGTTTCTCCTCATAGAATGCAAATTTAGACTTGGAAATGACCTCTGAGAGGCATCTGACTTGTACACGTGTTACCTGAGAGCCTTGAACGAGGCTGCAGAAACCCCCCCAGGGTTGTTAATGGGTGTACCACCAGGGAACCTTTCAGTGTGGGGAGAGCCTGAGAGAATCCCAGAGAGGCTGCTTCATGCTGATTACAACAAAATTGTGAGGTTGAGCAAATTCGCAAGACATTCAGACTGAGTCGAGTCCCAAGGTAGCAAACACTTTATAACCCCATCTCTTTTGATCATACGTAAATAAATACTTCGTGTTGACAGTAATTTTCAGGAAACAATTCACACTTATCCTTGCAACAATAGATGTTCTCTGATAGGTTACACAGGTTATGTTTCAAATTGTTGTCTCTGAAATTGGTTTCTCAACCACCAAAGGGTTGAGACCATGACTGTCTATCCCACCTGAGTTGGAGACTTGAGCTGGCCTTCTCAGCCTCACAACAGTGGCTACCACCTCAATCTCCACGCTCTCTACAGCATTCGCTCAAAGCAGGAGATCAAGTCAGGGAGCACTTCAGACACATCAGCCTCAGAGCTATGTTCAAACTAACCCGACAACAGGGTCAAGCTTCCAGACTGTAAACTTATGAAATATACGGGGCTCAAAGGAGAATGAAAAACAAGTTTCCCAGTGTCTCACCACTTCCTGAGCAGTGAGCCAGGCAAGCCAGCCGTGTTCCTGAGTGGTGACTGGCCGGTGGATGAAGTGGTCAGTTCTACCACAGACACAAGTTACAAACTAGCACTTGCAGGACCAGAAGTCAAAACGGGGCCGTCCTGATTGATTTACAGACCTCTCCACTCCAATAGGACACCAGAAAGGGCAGGTGAAAGGTAAGAAACCCACCTCCAACTCCCCCCCACCCCGGCTCTCTGCCCTCAGAGCACGTGAGACACAGGAGAGCTATTTCAGAAAGCAGTGACGTCTCCTTATCACAGCCTGCAAAACCAGGCTGCTACTTTGGGGTCAAAAGAAAAGTTCACTCATAACATAGATGAAATACCATTTTTGGTTTTGTCTGGGTTTTTGTTATACAAAGATGTTAAAAAAATGATCTACTCCATGCAAGTGTCGTGCAGTATTTCTGTGGCCGAGGGCTGCTATACTTACAAGGTAAGTGGGCTTCAAGGTCTGCAACCTCTGTAGAAACAAAAGAGATTATTAACATTAGTCAATCACACCAGAGAAATCTCCGTTCTTAGTAGACAATTTCTTCCAGAATACCAAGGAGAGGAAATCCACACCGGTGTGCAGTCTAGGCCATCGTGTTGATACACAAGGACTTAAAGGACGCCCACAGGTTTAATTCTTTAACATTCACCCAAATGTGATGCCCCTCATGTAGGTTCATTATCCCCTGTCTCTAGACCTGTTCCTACCTAGCGGGGCATCAACCTCAGTCTGGTTTATATCTGTGCCTACTTGACTGTTTTCCAGGCCTGCAAGGAACTCTGCTGTCAAAAAGGAATCATCTGGGGTGAGGGTCTCTAGTCGTGGGAGGGGGTCTCTAGCTGTGAGATGGAGAGGGTTCCAGCCATGAGGGAGGAGGGTTTCCATTGTGGGTTGAGGGGTTCTGCTGTGGGGAGGGGCTGCAGGTCCTAGCTCCTGGGAGGAAGGTTTCTGAGTAGGGCTCTCAAGAGTCAGTAGAATCTGCAGAACTGAGACCTGCTGAGGTAGAAAGGGCGTTCTTCCAAGCAGATAAACCACCCAGTGCCAAGCAGAGCATGCAGAAAAGCCAGAGCAAAGGGCAGGCTCAACCACAGCTGAGCTGTGAATCCCAAGGCGAGAAACCTGGGTGAGTGGTTGAGGGCCAGCTCCAGAATTCTGGACTCTTGGGCCGCAGGGGAAGACGTGCAAAAGCTCTGAGGCTTTGCTGGGAAGGGTGAGCAGAGCTGGAGGCCAGCAGGCCGACATGCAGCAAGGACTGGAGGCTGGACAGAGAAAGACCAGGATGACCAACATGGGAAGGACCAGGTCTTTGTGTGGGTCCAGGGCTCAAAGATGGCTCTGAAGGTGCTAGAGCTAAGGAGGAAGTGTGGAGGCACTCCTGGGGTGGGAGGACCCCTGAAGAGTGCTGTCATCTGGCATCATGGGATTGGACAGGCCCAACCAGAGCAGAGACTGATGAACAAAAAGCACATGGGCAGAGGCAGAAGCCAGGAGCCAGGTGCGTCAGAGACAAGACAGGCAGAGAAGTAGAAGAGATGCCGGGGCAGAGCGACACAGATGGTAGGTTCCAGAGAGCACAGCAGTCCCAGGAGAACAAGGGTCAAGAGAGATATCAGCTGTGGTTGATCCTCCCTCAAGATGGCAGGAGACAAGTGAAGACCACAGGATGAAAAATCCAAGGCATGTCCAAGTATCTCCAGAAGTCCAGAAGGGCGGGGGGATGACACGGGACAGGGACCTGGGGGAGCACAAGGTGAGCAGAGTTGAAGCCAGCTGGGCCCTCACAAATGACCTATGACCTGGGCCCTGGGGTCTTCCCATCATACCCATCAGCTCCAGGGGCAGGTATCTGGCATCTGGAAGGGGAAACGGGCAGGGGCCAGCTGGGAACAGACCAACTCACCTAGCAACCTGGCACTATGGCGTAGCAGGACGTGGGGCGTGGGCAGGCAAAAATGACTCACCTCTTCCTCTGACTGGCCATGAGCACAGCAGCCCAGAGGGCACTGTTTCAAAAGGCTGTGCTGTGGACTCTTACATATACACAACCACATCCTGTGACTGTCAGATTAACTGACCTCCCCTTCTTTCTAATCAGTCAGCCTGCCTGCAACCTCCTAGTCCCTCACCCTCGGACTGGACGGTCAGCAATCCAGGGGACGCTCACGCCCAGCTTCCCGGAAGAGTACAGGAAGAGAAGGAACCTCTGACTCTGAGTGTACCAATGATTTACTGGAAGCAAAATGTTGCAGACAGTCTAGCAGTCAGGGCCGGGGATGGGGGAGACCTGGGAGTGTGGGGACAGCAAGGCCCTTGACCAATAACATAAGGGATAAGGGAGACTTGGGAAACAGGATCCCACTCTGCCATCTCCCCTATTTTTTGCATAAAATATGCCCTCCCTAAATAACATTTCCACACAAACATGTGCAAGCGTGTGGCGTGCACAGAAAACTTTACTTGGGAAAAATCCCCGCACTCAACAAAACCTAAACACTATAACCAGAACCAACCCTAATGTATCAACTGTGTTACTAAAACCTACAGGGATGGAGCTCAGGGTGCAGGAGCTGGCACAATGATGCCAGGACACCCCGCTGTACATGACAACCACCAGGATCCCCTGGTTTGTTTTTCTCCGTTGTACCAGCTTAAGTCCTTCTTCTTTACCACAAAGAGACCCATTTGGGGTGTCTAAGTCAATGATCTCTACTGAATTCTAGAGCTGTATGAAATGCCCCTACCACAAATTTCTACCTCCTGAGTTTTAAACCCTCTTGCGGTCCTGGCTGAGTAGTTTTGCTGACCAAAATGCAGTTTGCCATGTGACATGCTCACACAGAGCCATTTTAAGTGTGTCTACCAAACAGCTCCATTCTATGGATGGAGAACAGTTCAAACCCCACAAAAGGTGTGACCCTATGTTTCACTGGTCAGATGCCTCCTTTTGGGGGGTAGACCAGGGCCAGGGTGCCTGTAGGGCCATCCAGTTAGCAGACTTCCACAGCCAAGGGCCACTACAAGTTTCACCCCGGCAAAGCACACACGCTGGACACAACAGCCTCGCACAGCCATGTGATGCTGTGGTTCAGCGCAGGGCCAGCAGAGACCACAGGGGCAGAGAGACCAAATACTCTCTGGGGAGGAGCCACGAAGCCAAATTTCGAAACAGCAAATAGTAAACTAGGGAACCACCTGGCTTGAGTGCCCACTAACTGGGCCTTCCCACCCAAGGGGAGACGAGGAGAGACAGAGAGACACAGACACACACATACCCCTAATCAGGTACCAGGAATGACAGGTATTTACAAAGTGTCCTGCTCATTCCACTCACACCCGCCCTTGCACAACTTGGCTGAGTTTCCCTCTGAACAGGGAGCTTTTCCTCTGTGCTACTGAACACATCCATGACCAGATGTCAGATCAGTCCCTGGTGACCACAGGCAGACACCCCCTGGGACTGGAGTGGGTCCTACACATCCGTCAAGGGCAAGGGCTGTCAGCCTGCCACAGCCTGGGTGGCACACACTGACCCCAGTGATGGGCCCAAGGGCAGACAGACCCACCAGCCAGGGGCGGTGCTCCCAACAGAGCATATCTGCACCCTTCCCAGATGAAGATGGTTCTCAAGGGCCACCTCAAGCCTGTCAAGGGCTCAAGCTGGACACCCAAGAAGAAGCAGAGGCTGCTTTCTGGAGATTGTGACATCCCTCTGCTCCCCCCCCCCCCCGGAGATGTCTGATTACGTAGCTTCTGACCCATGTTCATGCCCTGAAACCTTGAAGTCTCATCTCTTCTGAGCCCTCATACCAACTCAGTCCTGATCTGGGACATCACAGGACCAGAGTACAGCAGTTCTCACCTCAGCCCAGGAAGGACCCAGGGGTAACTAGCAACCAGACCCCATTTTAACTCTTCTATCCTGTCTCAGGCCTCCAAGCCCATACTGCAGAGTCTGGTTCCTTAGAGTTTAGGGTCTCTCTTCCCTACAATGCAGCAAGATTATGATCCCCACCCTCAGCCCTGGAGCAGAGACCCGTATCTGAGAAAGGGACTCGCAGCCTCACTGCCCATGCTCCAACCTGGGCATGGCATTGTGTGTGGACACACAGGCCTCAGCTTCCACAGGGATCCCTGCTTGGCTAGGTGGACCACCTGCACCTTGTGTATGTAGGCTGAGTGTCACTCTCGTCAAGAGTTAAGGCTACATGGTGAAGTGGTCTAAGCATCCACTGCTAACCAAAAGGTCTGTGGTTCAAATCTACTGGCACCACCATGAAGCAAAGCCAAAGCTCCTTTGAAGATGACAGCATCAGAAACTCCATGGGCTGTTCTACCCTGTCCTACAGTCACAACTAGTTAGTTAATCTGTGGGAAGCCAGATATTAATCTAAATGATAAACCAAATGCTCTATTAGGATTTGAGGGAGGCACAAATACAAGCTAGAATTCCTCCTCTTACAGGTCACAGGGGTCAAGTGCCAAGGCAGATAGATCGTAAGGCGTTCTTCACAATCCCAGGACTGTATTTGCCAACTCCTCCCTCCTGAGTCAAGCATAAGGTTTTCACTAGAAAGAGCCTGGCTTCATGTGCATGGAATCCGTTGTGATTTGCTCCGGCAATTCTCAATAAAGTTGCAGAGAAGCTTGGATCTGGGCTTCAGTCTTTGAGCTGTTTGCCCCCTGCCTTTACACTCTTTTTTTCTCCATTCCTGTGTGTCACAGTCTAGCTTTTTCTCAGTCTTGGTGTCCCTGTCTCCTCTACGTCCTGGATTGACAACATGAATTGACTTAAATGTGGTGATTTTGCGATCCAACTGTCTTCCCGTCATGTAGGTGGACCCGTGCCACTGTGCCCCCCCCAAGTCCTGACTAGTTTTCAACACTCTGGCAGGTCAATACCAGCATCACAGGGGCTGAATGGCAGTAGGCACTGGCAGAGGATGAGAACCCGGGGTTCTCCCTCTGGCCACTTCTTTCCAGGACACATGGTGCAATGAGGACACTGTACAGTCCCTCTGCCACAGGGTACCCTCCTGGTCAGACCCCACTCATTCTACACTTGGCTGGACCACACTCTCTACCCTCACAGTGGCCTGGGCTTCCCTGGTAAGGCCCCATCCACTGTATACTTTGCTGAAGCACACTCCCCACCCTCCCATGTGGGGTCTGGGGTCTCCTGGTCAGACTCAGCCCACTGTACACTTTGCTTGACTGCTCTCCCCACTCTTACATGTGGGCTGGGGTTTCTAGGCTGTAAATCTTTATGGAAGAGGCTGCTCCATCTTTATCTCAAAGAAAGGCTGGTGGTTCTGTTCTCAAACACTCAACCACTGTGACACCAACGATCCCCAGAACCAAGGGAGTGGATGGTCCAGTCCCCTCATGCTTTTGACAGCAGGTCCACAGCCACCTGCTAAGCTCAGGGGTCAGGGAAGGAGACTAGAGGCTAATTCAACCAGCTGACTTGGAGAGTATGCAGTGAAGGAGGGATGGCTGAACACTGGAGAGAGAGGCAAAGTCTGACCTCCACCTCATGGCGATCGGCCTGGGGCTGAAGCTAATGGTGATTCTCTCTCCTCCCCACAGAGAAGTTAGAAGTGGGCCACCTGCTTTGCATATCATCCTTTCCCTGTACCTTTAGTCAACTGGCCGCAGCCTGCTCTCTCCCAGAGGCAGAGGGAGAACAGGGATGAGGGTGCATCTTGTCTTCATCAGCCAAATCCTACGTATTCCCGTTCCTCCCCATGCTCAGCAGATGCTTACTTCTGGGAAGGCTGAACACAATACTGCTAACACACACACACACACACACACACACACACACACACACACACACATCCCCCCCCTCCGGGCATTTGATGTGTTGCAGGACTTACAGACACTGGTAGTCTCCTTACTGTCCATTGAGTGAAACAGACAGATTGGCAGTTGCAACAATAATCCAACCCTCTCGGGCTTTCTAGTTTTTGAAGATTTAAATATAAACATTTGCTGAAAATCTCATGCTCCTTCAAATTAGGAATAGTTCCATAATTTGGAGTCCTCATGACCCTGAAAGTTTGTCTTTATTAACTGTGAATGAGTAAACGGAAAATCACCAGCACGCAAAAGTACACATATCCAGGTACACACATTTGTATGCCCACCTGATGCAGCCCAGTTTCTCTCACCAACTGAGCAGAAATAACTGCTCTAATGACTGTCGGGCTGTAGGGTGTGCAGAGACCCAGGACCAGAATAAATACATTATCTGCAAAGACCATCAGGGGACTCTCTAACTCAAGACATTAGTGACAGACATCAGGTTCAGACCCTGAAGGAGCAACAGCAGAGACTTGTTACCCATGCACACCCGTATCACTGCAGCAACATGTCCAAGAGCAAGGAGGGACAACCCATGCTGCGGCCACGATGGTCCACTCCCACGGTCATCGGGAACGGGAGATGCTGCACAACTGGATGAACCAATGGGATTATTCCGGGAGGCACAAGTCCATCACAAAATGACTATAAGGCCACATGTAAAAAGTGACATAGACTCACACAGGATCATTCTAGGAGGCAAAGACTGGGAGTGAGGAGTGAAGAGAAAGGCATTATGCAATCACAGGTGACCACACATCACAATGAACGAGCTGCATCAACCAACAATAATCTGACTTCAGGCCTGAAGGGTAGGATCATGAAGCCACAGGGAGGGGCACGCACAGCCTTCCCTGAGGACAGTCGGAGCAGCACCTCAGTGCAGGTGGGCCAGTCCCTGTCTCCACCGTATCCAGGCGTGCCCCCATGACTGACCTTGTTCCGGTCCCCTCACGGCCCTTGTGTCTGCACACGCCCTCATAGTTGCTTGACAGCAGCTTGTTGCGCACGGACACACACGCACACACATGCACGCGCCCTACCTTTGACGAGCAGCTTGTCCCGCACTGACACGCGCCGTGCTGAGTCGGGCGCTGTGGCCGCCGAGCGTGCCCCCTTGAGGCCGTCGTCCCGCTTGAGCTTGCTGGCCAGTGTGAGCATCACGGCTGCCTTTGCCCTGAAAGGAACACAAGTCAGCGCGGGGGCACGGGCACTATGCATGGCGTTGGGGTCACTGCCCGCGGCCGACACTGGCGCACAGCCACCCCGAGGGCACTCGCTGTGACCCCAGCTGTGACCAGGGCAGGGCTCCTGGGCAATGGGCTCCCTCCACCTCGCTCTGCCCGCAGCCTCTCGGGCAGAGGAGACTGACCAGCTTTGCCCCGGAGCCGCTGGGTTCGCCCTGCACAGAAGGGCTGCCATGGAGCGCCTCCCCACCCCGAATTTTTAAAAGGAAAGTTAAAATGAAAGCAAGCTATTCGGCAAACACTGGTTGGCACCGAGGAGCGGTCAGTGACAGGACACGACGTGCCCGAGCCCCAAGTGGAGAGCATGGCACACGCAGGCCACACCGCGGGATCTGCATGGTCCCCACCACACACCGGTGACCACTGTCCCCCTGAGCCCATGGGTCCATCACACGGGGGAGTGGCTGCCTTTCCTCCTTTAGTAAGAACCCCGGCCATTCCAGTCTGCCCCCGGGGTCCCTAAGGCCACAGTCACAGGAGCAGGATTCACAGTGCCAGGCTTGGCTTAGCAGCCCAGTGTTGAATCACATTCCTCAAATCCACTGCACAGCACAGCTGTGGGTCCTTGGACGACGCTGTCCAGGGCTACTGAGCTGCAAGAAGTCACCACACAAAGAGGAGTTCCTCCCTTGGGGGTGGGTGGTAAAAAGACCCTTATCCCGAGTGTGATTCTCCAGGGGTCTAGTTCTACATCAAGACTGATTAGCCTGGACTCTCAGACTCCAAAAAAGTTGATAAAACACACACACACACACACACACACACACACACACACACACACGATGTTAAACACTAGTTGTGCAGATTCCCAGCTCTGAAGCACATATATGGCCAAAGGCCACACATCCAGCCCTGGACAAGAGTGGGAGCAAAGTCTCCTAAAGGTGTAACTTCACGAAAGTGGAAACAGAGGGAAGAGCTGGGACACCTGCGAGGCCACGGAGACACAGAACTGTGAAGCTGAGCCCTCACGCTCCGTCCCCACCAGGGGCAATCTCATCCCAGTAGCACACTGGTCACAAAGCAATGCTATTCTCCAGACTACCTTCTAGCCTCTGGGTGTGAGCACCACAGTCCTGCCATGGGGTCAGGTGGCCTGATGGTGGCCACCACAAAGTCCACTTGGTTTTCATCATCTAGCTGGTTTGCAATGCAACTCAGCAAAAACAAGAAGAGTTCTATGGTGGTTGTCAGGTGCTAGTGGGTTGGTTTCAACTCAATGAGATGGACGGACACACAGTGACTGCAATAAGGACTTGAGAGGGTGGAGGCTGAGGATGTGCAGGACAGAGGAGGGTCACTGCATCAGGGCACCGCCAACACACAACCCCGTGGGAAACATCCTAGTCCTGGGCCTTGTCACGATGGTCGCTGTCTGAGCCCGCTGTCTGGCCACTGTGGTCATCCACTCTGTCAAGAGTCTCTTTCCCGCTGACTCTCGAGTTTACCAAGCATGATCCGTGTCTCCAGTGACTTGCCCTCTGGATCACAAGTCCAAGATATGTGTGTCAAAGTCTCACCATGCTCATTTCTAAGGAACATTCTGACTGTATGTCTTCCAAGACAGATGATACACATAGTTCGAATCCACTAGGTGCTTCATGGGAGAAAGACAGGCAATCTCCTATGTGATTTATAGTCTCTTGAAAACCTGCTGGAAATTCAATTTGACAGTATATAACAACAACGGTACGATTTCACATTCTTCACTAACACTCAATTCAAAGGCATCAGTTCTTCTAAAGATTTTCTTCTTTATTTCATATGCATACGAAGCAATTGCAAATACCATAACTGGAATCAGGCACACTTTAGTTCTCAAAGTCATATCCTACCTCTTTTAACACTTTAAAGAATATCTGCCCAGTCAAATATACCACTTGATTTCTTGACTGCTGCTTCCATGAGTGCTAACTGTGGATCCAAATAAAACAAAATTCACACTGTAAATGCCTTTTCATAGTCCACAAAACACAGATAAACATCTTTCAGTATCCTCTCCTTTCAACCAAGATCCATCTGACTTCACCACAGTGAAAGCAATAGTTCCATGTCCTTTTCGGAATCGGTCTCGACTTCCTGGCCAGTCACTGTCAGTATACTGCTGAAACCATTTTCTAATTATCTTCAATAAGATTTTACTTGCATGTGATAGCAACAGTATCATTTTATAATCTATACATTCTGCTGGACATTTTTTTTTTTTGATAGGCACAAATATGGATGTCGTCCAGTCAGTTGGCCACACTGCTGTTTTGTGATTCTTGCCAGAGACAGGTGAGTGCAAACAGTGTTGCAGTCATTCGCTGAAACATCTCCGCCAGTCCCCCATCAATTCCTGGAGGCTTGTTTATGCCACTGCCTTCAGGGCAGCTGGGACTTCTTCCATTGCGGATCATTTGCTACCTCTTGAAATGTACAATGACTCTGTATATTTATTTCCGCATTATTCACTATTTTGCCCAGAGAATCCTTCATTATTGTAACTCAAGACCTGAATTTGTTCTTCAGTTCTTTCAGCTTGAGAAATGCTAGGTGTGTTCTCTCTTTCTGGTTTTCTAACTTCAGGTCTTTGCACATTTAATGATAATATGCTACTCTATCTTCAAGAGCTGTCCTTTGGAATCTTCTATTAAGCTTTCTCACTTCATAATTTCTTCCATTCACCTTAGCTTCTCCACATTCTACAAGTTTCGTTGTCAATTTTGGTCTTTTCCTTCTTTCCTGTCTTTTAAAGTGACCTTTTGCTTTCTTCACGCATGATGTCTTTAGTGTTCAATACATCAGGTTTATTCTTGAGATGGTCTAGAAATTCAGGGAAGTTATTTCTTTTTTTTTTTTAAATTTTTTTTATTTTATTAGGGAAGTTATTTCTGAGGCTACACTTGGGCTCTCATGTTGCTGTTAGGTGTCCCTGGATCAACTCTGCTTCAAAGCAACCCGTGAACAACAGATCTGAATACTGCCCCGCCCTTGCCATCTTCATTTCCTCTAATGTACACAAGTCCACTGAAAGTCATTGTGTCAATCTGTCATGTTGAGGGTCTTCCTCTCTTTCACTGACCTACTGTCTTCCCAAGCATGATGTCTTTTTCCAAGGACTATCATCAGGATGGATGGTGAAAAGATTGAGGTTGTAAACAGCTTTAGTTTGCTTGGCTCCACAGTCAACACTCTTGGTAACAGCAGCCAGGAAATTAAAAGATTAATTGCACTGGGGAAGTCTGCTGTCAGAGACCTCTCCAAAGTACTGAAGAGCAATGGTGTCACTCTGGAGATTAAGGTGTGCCTGATACAGGTCATGGTCTTTGCTATCACTTGCTATGTATCAGAGTGCTGGACAATGACTAGGGAGGAAAAAGAACTGATGCCTTTGAGCTGTGGAGTTGGAGAAGAGTGCTGAATATACCATGGACTGCTAAGAAAACAAACAGGTTCATCCTAAAGAGAGTTAAACCAGGCTGCTCCTTGGAGGCAAGGATTCTGGAGCTTCGTCTGACATACTGTGGACATGTTGCAAGGAAGGACCAGTCCTTGGAAAGGGACGCCATGCTTGGTAGAGAGGACGGACAGTGCAGGAGAGAAAGACCCTCTATGAGGTGGACTGATTCAGTGACGAGGGTAATCAGGGTGGGTGTGTTGGAGACAGTGAGATTGGCAAAGGGCAGAGCAGGGTTTAGGGCTGTTGTACACAGGGTCGCTGTGAGTCGCAAGCAATTTGACGGTACCCAACAACAACAACAGCAGCAACAACAACTCCTCCCTCCTAAGAATATGCCCCACGTAAGCCAGATGTCCACCACCCTGGCTAAGCAGCACTCTGACTGCACTTTCTCGAAGGCCTATTTGTTGTTACTCTGGCAGTCTATGGGGTAGTCAGGACTCTTCTCCAACACAATTTACAGGATTTATTATTCTTAGTCATTGTCCATTCAGATGCATACCAAATAACTGAAAAGACGATGGTGTCAATCAAGTGCACCTTAGTCTTTAAACCATCTGATGACAGTTTAAAGTGCTTAGCACTCTGGAGAAGTCTTTAACAGATATCCCAATGCTATATATCTCTTGTTTCTTGACTGCTGGTACATGGATTGTGGACCCAAGTAAGATGAAATTGTTTATAATGCCATTCTTTTCTCCATCTGTCATGATGTTGCCTATTAGCCCATTAATGAAGATCTTTGTTTTCTTGTGCTAAGATGCAATCCATATTGAAGGATGAAGTCTTTGATCTTCTGCAGCAAGTGTTTCAAGTTCTCTCCTGGCTTTCAGCAAACAAGGTTGTGTCATGTGCACAACACAGGTTTTTGACAACTCTTCCTCTGGTCCTGATGCCACATTCTTCTTCATAACATCCACCTTCTTGAAGGATATGCTCAGCTTGAATACAGATTAAACAGACTTGGTTTAATTTTTACCAGCTTCAACCTGAAAAGGGTAGACGGATACTCTGTTCTGCAGTCAGTCTTAGGCTTTGTTCTGACTGATGTGACCAAGTTTCTCTGTTCTTTCCACTGACGTAACCTATTTGGTTCCTGTGTATTCTATCCCACAAGGTACATGCGTGTTGTGGCTGGTTATGTTGTTGAAAAAAAGATATTTCCAAAGATTAAGTTGTTGCTCTTGTAAAATTGTATTATGTGATCTCTGGCATTTTAATTAATTATGGTCAGGGACATAGTTTTCCATGCATCTTGACTGCATGTCTGACCAATTTCTGACTGCAGAAACTGGTAAAAACTTCCAGTGTTTTCAACTTTGCATTAAAGACTATTCTGTAAATTTTAGTAACAGTCAAACTATCTGGTCTTCCTGTAAGTAAGTGGGTATTATCATTGACAGCACTGTTCTTCAGGATAGATTTCAAAATGCTCTTTTGACGATGACTATGTCATTCCTGGTATCGTGGCC